CCACGGAGCAGCGCGTACGAGCTCGACTTCATGAAGAAAACGGGGAAATCCCTCAAGCCTACGCTGACCAACGGAAGACTGAGGAGCCACAGGAGTCTTCCGAATAACCTAGGAGGACTGGGGATGAGGAAAAGCAGCAAGGAGCTACGATTCGCTGAGAAGATGGAGGAGAAATTTCACTACATCAAGGAGGATGACAATCCCCCTGACTACAACGGCATAACTGCGACTTGTGTCGACGAAACTGAATCCCCTCCAAGTACACCGACGATCACTGGAGTAACGAGGTGGGAGTCAATGGAATCAGATGTCTGATACATGTATGCTACCATGGTAACTGCTCACCTTCAAAATAACACTTGGGCCTATGCATTGGTGGAGGGAAGTATATATAAAGGCTTTATTCACGAGTCGGCCATATTAAATTGAAATCTTCACTTTTGGAACTTGCGAATAGAGATGAAAGTTGGGAAATAAAGCGAATTACAAATTAATCTCAGTCTGCTCTGATGAATAATTAAAAAGGTTGTGATTAAATTTATGCTTAATGTTTTAAGCCACACGAAAAAAAAGCCTGAAAGTGAGGCTTGGAAAGCAGAAATAGACTGGCACCATCCCATTCAACAGTTTACAAGGCAACATATACGTGATTTTGTCGCAACGACTATGTCGCGCGGCAACGCCGCACACGCGCGTGTGAGTGAACAAATGTACGTGATAATGTTGCACGATTTTTGAAATTTGCAAGATAAGTCGCACGACTTTGTTGCGTAAATGTAAATGCGCTCATTGATTTGTTCGAATGTATAAAAACTCGAGACATTATCGGGCGTCAAAATCGCGTATTTGTAAATAAAATTCAGGGAACACTATCAAAAATGGCTTTCTCGTTGATAAGGCCAAAAAAAAAAGTCTCCGGTTTCTGGTATGGAGCTTGCCCAAAAAGTGGTGCGGCGACGCGGCTTTTTTTTTTTTTTAACCTGATTTTTTTGCTTCAAATGTCGGCTGATGACTGCAAATGGCGCCCGACTAAACTTAGTGCAAATATATGGGAGTCCAGAGAGGCCACATCTAGCTTATTCTCGACCATAACCCAATCTAAAAACACGTTAAAATTGTGCAGCAGCAGGATTCCAGTCAAACCAGTGAGTTTGGCGTTTTTGAAACATCATCTTTCATTGAAAAAAACCTTTTTTAATTTGCCGACGCGCATGGCTGCGGCGACGCGCGCGCGCATACCAGAAACCGGAGACTTTTTTTTTTTGGCCTAAGGTCTATGAAACTAAAAAACAGTAAAGTTACATTCTGAACATGTGTATTCAGGGAATTATGCTAATTCACTTGAATGGTTGCATAAAAATGAGTACAGATGATTACTTTAAGGAACCCTTTCAGAAGACAAGATGAGTATTTACAAATTTGTCTTTTTACAAGTTAACAACTCTTCAAACATGCAAACCAAATAAAAAACTGAGCTGAGCTCTGGCATACTTTATTATTTATTTTTGGCTCACATTAAGCCACACAGAAGAAACTCTTTTTGGACAGGAGTGACAGGTTTCACTTTGAACGCCTGAGGCTGGATGTATTGAATATTTTAATTAAGTTTTGAACAAATTGTGAATAATCAGAATGCATGTGCAGAGACGTGGAACTACCGGTATGCTTGTAAGGAGTTCTGGTTGCATGTTTCAAGTCAATTCAGGTTTTACCATTCTAGTATTGGGGGCAGTGAGTTAGGCAGAAACTGGACTGAATGGACAGACATTTTTCTGTTTTTTAATTTTTTATGAATTAAGATCGACAAACTTGATTACCCCGGGCAAGGGCGGATCCAGGGGGGGGGGGGTGTCAACGTGGGCCAAACAAGAAAAAAAAAACACCATTTTTTGTTGTTGTGATGTCGCAGTAAAGGCAGGCACTGCATACACCACCATATTTTCCTCAAAACAATTTGGTTTTAAAAGTGGTCAGAAATTGCCTCAGATTGCACTACAGAGCATCTAAAATCCAACAATTTTTTGGGGCCCTTGAGCAGGCCCCGAACCGACCCCGTAATTTTTGGGACCCACTTTTTGGGGGACCAACATTTTTTGGCCATCCCCCCCAAAAAATTGTGTTCTGGATCCGCCCTTGACCCTGGGTACATAATGTGTCAGAGGTAAGAATATTAATAGAATGAATTACAGTATTCTACAAAAAGTCTTTCAGCTCCAAACTTGTTACATAACATGTATATTGTGCTGATACCAGTTACATGTGCCAACAGATGTTTGTCTAATGACATCAACTACATGTCACAAAGATTTTCCTTAATTTTTTTGTTTACTTTTAATGAAGGTGAAACAGAATTTGGAATTTTTATAAATAGGACATGAACGTGTTTGAGATGCAGGATCATTAGCTATGCAATATTTAGCAGTTCAAGCACATAAATTACTCACAAATGTATCTGTGGCTTTCACTGATTTTATTTAGAATATATTTTTGAAAACACTTTTCTTAGGCCAAAGGACTCACTGTGTAACTCTGACAATATATAAACAAGATTTGTTGTTCTTCCACAAAGTTTCACAATTTGATTTCATTTTTTTAAAGTTTAACTGCTAAACTATAGTTGGTAGAGGGAAAGGTGGCATGGTACTCCAAATACAAGAAAAAAATACTAATCAATAATTAGATAAAAACAAATTTACATTAAACAGATAAATATAATCAACCACCCCACACCTATTAATAAATACGTGCACCAACATTATAAAATCTAACTTCATTAATATGGAAAGAGAAAACTTATTGGTAGAGATATCAAGGAACATTTAAATGCACTCTGTAAGCTGAAACAGGTAAGCAAATATTTTGAAGCAATTCCAAAAATTAACACTTTCTTTGGCTGGAAATAAGAACTGCTTCTCCACTTTCATGTTTTTGTGATTTTGTATAATGCCCAAAAGGTTCTTTTTTTGCTGAAACGTTGGGATGCAATGCTCAAAACAATGCAAAGACGATAATAAAAGATTGCATCACTTGCTTCAGGGATATTGAATTTTGATGTTAATCGTGTTAATACGACATTAGAATTAATGAATTGTATGTCTTTCAACCAAATCGGAATGTATTCACAAAAATGTCTGATTTTTACAGCCACATATGCAGAGTCAACTCCCCAGCCCCCTTTTCATTGCTATGAAATGATGTCCAATTTCAGCTTAAATTTATTGCCCAGATTGATTGCATTCCTATCATTTTCGTTGTCTTTTATGCATATTTTTCCCAAGAGGAAATTTACGATCGTGTTTAGGCAAAACACCTGTGCTTGTGGAGAAGTACACGTTTTTAGCCTTTTCGATGTGTGCATTGTTGCTCCTCTAAGCACTTCCAAGTTAACCTGGGATCTAGAAACATCTTTTTATGGTATTTTACGTACTTTATGCAGAGGCTGAAACAGTTCTATGCTGAATTTGAAAATGGCCGAGGATCACAGGGAAGTAACATGTAGTACAACGACAAAAAACAGTGGAATTGAAATATTCCATTAACTTAATCAGTTAATTTGAAAACAGTATGCAAATAAAATGTGTCTTTCTGCTGAACCCAAATTAAGGGTCAGCATAGGCCAAGTTCGCTCAAGGACTATAGTTGACCAATGGTTAACTAACGTTTGCCCGAACTCTGTCTAGTCGACGGTGGTTGACTACGCTAGTCGACTATTTGGAACCAGCCTACTGGGGTTGGTTGCTTCGCTGGTAACCAATAGCCGCGCGCATTCATAACGCTAGCAGAGGGCCAGGATCCAGAAGTTTTGCGATGACATTTTGACCAGCGTTTGACTAGAGACGTTCGCACGTTGCTATCAGTGCGCAGGTGTAAGGTACGTCACAAATCAACCACTAGTCGACTAATGGTCCTTGCCCAAACTTGGCCATAACTGTCCTCTGATTAAGTTTATGACTGAATAACTAACTAACAGACTGACTGACGTAGGCAAGCCTTCTTGTTTTTTAAACAAACCAAAAATGTGCCTTTTCTAAGAGACAAAACTTCTAGATGACTTAATTTTCAAAAAACCACAATCAGTGAAAGACTTCTATTGTACAGAAAATATTTGAAAAATAGTATTATAAATACGGCAGGATCCAGAATAAACCAGAGAGAAAAACGCAAGTTGCATGTATTTTGTATTTTTATCTTATCATTGTTGTTTGTTAAAACTTATTCTAAAGTTGTTTTTTTTTCCCCCTGGCTAGACTCCAGTAGCTGTCTCCTTTGAGATTTGTTGGCTTACAAATCTACATGTACATATATATGTATTCCAAAGAAAATTTGAGCCAGACCATAAAATGAAACTACAAACCATAAAATTAATAAAACCAGACAATAGTTGCTCGAGTAAGATCAAGGACAAGGTTAGAACTGACGTGTATAGAATAATTTTTCAAAAAGTCCATGAAAATGTATACAAAGGAATGAAATTAAATTCCTGAACCTGTCAAAAAGGATTGCTAAGCAAACACCATACAAATTATACATAAAGGTAAAGCAAGCATGCATTAAACCTTATGAATACAATTTACAACTTGTTATAAAAAAGCGAAATTGAGTACTGTGGACCAATAACCACCCACTGTGTATTACAAGGTGAGGACTCAAATCTTGCGCACATAAAACCTTATAAATACACATGTAAAACTCACAACTTGTTACAAAAAAGGGGAAAATTCAGTGCTGTATACCAACAACCACCCATTGTGTATAACAAGGTGAAAGCTGAAATCTTGCACACTGAACTACTGAGAAAAATCTGACCGTCCAGATTATTTGGGAGGTGTTCTTTTGGGGGTTTTTTGGGCATGAAAAGGAACATGTTTTCTGGAAGTTAACTGAATTTTGTCCCACTTGTTATGTTTACTATAAATGTACAGTGTATTAAAATGAACTGCAAGATTCAACAAGTAAACATTCATTATGTATGCATACAATCAGAAACAGAGACCAAGCAATTACATCTATCAGTTGTTTTTATTGTTAAATTACAAAAGTGAATCTATGTAGGCCTATGTGGAAATATATCAGTCACCATGAATTTAGTAACAAAGAAACCAAATTTATTTATAGCTTTCAGAAGCTTACCTCAGCCTGAACTTTATGCTTCCCCTCCGAAACAGGAGATCCAGTTTCCCCTGATGACCTGCTTAATTAGGACTCACATTTTGCATGTCATCTCCTCCCCTTAAAGGCGTACAGTACAGAATCATTTGCATACATGTACCCCAAAACTAAGTTACTGAATTATTCTCAAAAGCCTTACTTGGATTAAAGATCGTACTGGTGGTAAACACGCCGTGAATTTATTTTGTCTGGCTTGCTTTCAAAAAACAAATCAAGAAATGTAGGTGATTTCCAACAATATGTCAACAGAGTTTTGGAAATGCAGAGTGCTAGAAGACGAAGTCTTGGTATTTTCTCGAAAATTGTAGTACACTATATCCATGGAGCTGAGCAAATTTTGTTAACTTCTAGAGCATGCATGCAATGACACATCGATAGCCCCATCCATCCAGGGGTTGGTGCAATATCCCTAAATGTTGCGGCCTGGGAATTTTGAACTGCTCACTGACAAACTGTGACTCAAATTTCCCACTCTGCGACAGCCCTAAAAAAAAGGGGTAAAAATCCAGGTCTTCCATTATACAGTCATGTACCCTCGATAAACTCAGTTTAGCTTTTAGCTCAAATACTCTTACATTTTATACGAAAGCAATACTGGACAGTACTATCGAGTCAGTATTTTTTGCCCTAAATTCTTTCTGAAATGTCAGTTTGAATATTTTTTGTTGCGTTAAGTTAGATTTTGAAAACCTCTTTGAACCACTTGCGCGTGATGTGGACATAATTGTGGCAAAACAGGAAACGATGTTTTTTGACTGTAAAATAATGTTAAAGTTTATAACTTTGAGAAAACTAAAAAGGGGAAATCTTTTCAAAAGGTACCGGGTACCTCTTTTTTAGAAATAAGTTTTCCCACAAAATGGCATATTCCACTTGTGTCCTTGTGGGCTGTATCAGACTTATAATACAACCAAAGCCCAAATACACTGAAAAGAATTGCAAATTTGCAAGGTAGAAAAAAGCTCTTTCCACCCCTTCAAGGCTTCTAGGATTAAGCCAAATTCCTGCATTTTGTACAAAGAACACTATTGCATAGCGCTTTATACCAAAGGTCTCAAAGTGATTCAAAATTACCGGTATCAGGCCAAAATTACCGGTATCAGCGCATTCTGATCTCTACCCTCACAGGTACCCATTTATACTCCTAGGCCGAGAGAGGCAATAGTGAGTAAAGTGTCTTGCCCAAGAACACAAGCCCCTTGTTCCCCATCAGGGGACACATATGAGTCGAACACCGTAGCCATTAGACCACAGCGCTACATTGCATCACAACAATAACTAGCCCTTGATAGCCATCGATGCGGACAGATTGGTTTTGTTTGTGAACAAAACTGCAACTCATAGGCAGCAGCTCGTGTTGGGGAAAATAGTCGAATGTCTTTAAAGGTAATATACAACATTTGCAAACATCAAGAAACAAAACTACCAAATTATCATGAAATACCTTGCTTGACCGTAATCTCAAGCAACCTGTGAAATCATGGCATCTGTTTTTTTTTATGAAGGAAGGTGGTTACTCTGACCTGAGGTTAAATTTGAGGTCCGCATTTTCAAGAAAAGTGGAAGTTTTGTATCAATTTCCAATGATGGTCGGCTGACTTTTTTTCAACTACTGCCACCAATTTACTAAGTTAAGTTAGTCCACATTTTGTTTGCAATCGGTTACACATCCGTGAATGGGTGCAAGCGAGGTAGTCTGATTCCCTGACCTGACGATCCCCGATGTCTATAAACTGCTCCCGGATTCGTCTGAAGTAGAGTCAGGGAATCAGACTACAAGAACGGCTTTTTTCCCCTTGACTTTTTGAACACAAAACTTGAAACAGGTCAGTGTTTAAAACCACCTTCCTCCATGAAAAAAGTAAACCCCAAATCCATCCATTTGTAAAAGTACAGCAGAGCAGAATATCACGAATACTCGATTATCAACCAGTTAACGGGAAAACACATTTTTTGATTGAAATATTCGACAAATTAATGTAAGCAGTCTCAAGAGGTGATGAAAAATGTTCTCTAATTTGATCGAAAGCCACTTTCCCGCACGATTTGACAGCTGCCATAAGAGAAATTAATCTTTAAAATTGGTCGAATTATATATCAGCCATCATGGGCCGCGATCTGGGGGAGGGGGATAATTTTTGGGCGGGGGACGCCAATGACGTGTCCCCCCCCCCCCTTGTGAGATATTTCTGGATTTTTGGGGAACTTCAACACTGAATGATTGAGGAAAGGGAAGGGTTGTCCACAAAACGAAGTAATTCTTTACTGATTGACAAAAAAAAAACAGTTCTAACCAAAACCTGATATCTTTTTGCCCTTCACCGACAAATTTAAAAACCATGTCGATGAAGGGCAATAAACCCAATATCCAAACTTAAAATCTCCCTAAAACAAAATTTCTATAAAAGCAAATAATTAAGGATATAGATTGTTTTGATGAAAACACCTGTGTTCCTCTTAAAAGCAATCTTGGAAGACTTTTTGGGGTGAAAAAAAAAATTGAAAATTGAGAAATGTATGATAAAAAAAAATTGAAAAATTGAAAAACTTGAAACTTATACAAAGTGCGGTGTACCCTGTGTCTTAAGTTAATATTTTGCGGTTACAAGATGTTATATTTAGCTGGGGGGGGGGGGGGGGGGAGGGGGGAAGGGGGGCTTGGAAAGTCAAAAGGAAGTCAAGTCCCCGTGAGAATGTCTAAGCGATGACAAATTTAACCCCAGGAACAGCCTTATCAATGCCAGACAATCCTGAATTGGTAATTTATTTCTAGAGAAAGAAAGTTCTGCACAAAGAATTATATTTCTGGCAAACAATTTTTGGTTCGACCAAGTCTGACGTCAATTGGAGCAGTGCAGACTACAACAGTGACTTTCAAATTTAAGGGTCATCAGCTTGCAAATCATGGCACAATTTGTTTTAGTGAGTTTCAGACCCTAAAAGTGTGTCCGCAAAAAGTTGTTCACTTTCCCAACATTCTCTCTGAGTGATGAAGAAAATTTAATGTTCCAAAGATTCATCAAAATGAAAAATGGTACCTGGATTTTTTGTCCAGTTGTTGGTTGATCTGAATCCTTAACTCTGGCTGGGTCGACCCTCTTCACATGAAGCAAAAGTGAGTCAGCAAAAACTTGTTCACTTTCTCAACATTCTCTCTGATTGACAAAAAAATGTTTCAAAGATTCATGAAGATGAACAATGGAAAACTGGATTTTTGGTCCAGTTTTGGTTGATTTGAATCCTAAACTCTGGTTGGGTCAACCCTTTTCACATGAAGCAAAAGTGAGTCAGCAAAAACTTGTTCACTTTCTTGACATCCTCTCTGAGTAATTAAAACAATTATGTTTCAAATATTCATAAAAATGAAAAAAAAAAGGTACCTGGATTTTATCCAGTCTTTTGTCGATTTGAATCCTTAACTCTGGTTGTGTCGACCCGTTTCACATGCAGTAAGTGAGTTAGCAAAAAGTTGTTCACTTTCTTGAAATTCTCTCTAGAGTGATGAACAAATTTACGTCAAATATTCACAACATTTAAAAATGGTACCTGATTTGTTTGTCCAGTCTTTGGTCAATTTGAATCCAATTTTACTCTGATTGGGTTGACCCTGAAGTATAGGTGGCATCCTCTACACTTGGGATATGGAAAGTTCTTTCAGATCCAGTTGTGACTACCCCGACATTCAACTCTAGGGTAAAATGTACAAGAGAAAATCAGATTATATTTGACTTGAGAGAAATCTTTACGTTATGCAAAGCTAATTTTCCTGATTTTGATATTCTTTTTCTCAAAACCTCTCAAATCTTGGATATGAGGTGAGCTTGCCTATAAACCTTTGGAGTGGTGAGGGTGACCATAAAGCAATCTGTTGAGTGTTAAAAAATGATAAAAGAGCAGAACTCTGAAAAGGTTTTGAAAATCCATATGGACTGAGAAATGAAGAAAATTAATGGAAAATATAATATGGACACTGGTTTCACAGGTTGTTGGCATTGTCAAGCCCTGCCTTCATCTACTAGGTAACTAAAACTCCAACGAATGAAACAATGAAGAAAACTTTTGTATAATGTACAATTCCAAGTTTACTGGCAGATTAGGTTCAAGCAGGAATGTAGATACGGTACTTGTATCTATAGGCTTACCAAGAACTAGTTTCTTTTTTTCAACTTCCTGGCTTAACTTTTCCTAACTTCAAGCAGGGGTGTGAGTGACACCCAGGAGTGTGGGTGGGTGTGAGCTGAAAAACAGCTGGAAAAGTGTAAAAAAAAAAGCTGAATTTTGGAAATCTCCTATACTTTTGTACACAGCAAGCGAGGGAAAAAGCTGAAAAAAGCTGAAATCCAAATAAAAAAAGCTAAAATCAGCTTTAAAGCTGAGATTTCACACCCTTATTAAAGGTTATCTGTACAACATTCGATTTTTTCTTCAATTTTCAGAAATGGATGGATTGGGGGGATAGTACTTTTTATAATACTGTTAAAAATAACACTGCAGTTTTGTGCTCCTAGTCGTATGTAGATGCTAAAAAAAAACCAAGAAAAAATACTGTTCTTGTAGCCTGGTTTCCTGACCCTACTTCAGACGAAATGGAGCAGTTTATAGACATGGGGTAAATTGGGGGCAGTATTTGAAAAAAAAGTCAAAACAAGTTTTTCCAGCAATGGTTGGCCGACCATCGTTGGAAATTGATACAAAAATTCCATTTCCTTGAAAATCACACACAGTGCCATGATTTCACATGCCATTATTCACTTACTGTCAAGTAAGGTACCGGGTATTTCATAAACATTTGGTAGTTTTGTTTTTTGATGTTTGCAAATGTTGTATATTACCTTTAACTCTTACATCTGCCTTAATATAAACATTCCAATTTAGCTATGGTACATGATTGAACAGATATACTGTCTTTTTCTTTATCTTAAATTTTCCAAAAATGTCTTCACTCTACCCAATAAAAATCAGGTTCAGTATGTATTACAAAATGCAGTCAAATTCCAGAATATAGATTGATCAGGAAGATATACCCACATGGTCCCATAATCTCGCCAGGTACAAGGTACAAAAAGCTGATCGCCTGACTGCAAGTGTGTCAAATGGGTAAGTGGGTTTTATTTGCACATGTTATGGTCCAAATTGCCACCGTTCCCAGAACAAACACTTCTGAAGGGGTCACTGAAAATTAAAGTGTTTCTCTGAGGCAATAAAGGCCCGACTAGATCAGTGATGTTTGAATTCTTTGCCAATAAAAATGCTTGACACAGTAGCTGTGTTGACAGTTTTTACAAGGTCCTGGAATGCAAAAAGGGGGAGAATTGGGGTAATGAAGTTGCAAGGCTGGAGCAAATGGGGAGGAGTGGAGGGCTACTGAAAACTTTGAGTAATTTGCAGGAAAAGTTGGAGCCTTTGCTCTATAACAAGCTAAAGGGCAGATCTTGAAAGGTTACTGTGGGAGGGGGGGGGGCTGGGTGGGGGAGGGGGTGTTTGGGGAGGGGGGAGCACTGAGAAGGGCTCTCTCAATTGAAAATTTGCCTTATTTGAGAAAATTGTGGTCACAGCCGGCGTAGACAGGCCCGTGGCGCCTCCTCCACACACCCCAAGGATACACCACAGTTTTTTTACACAAAATGTTATCGAAACCATGCTGATTTTATTGGTAATCTTAGTAAAGTTCATCAAAAGTTATAATCACAAGCAGGCCCGTAGGAAGCTCCAAATCACAAGAAATGAACACAAGCAAGGATTGATGAAAGTGAAATATGCCTTTGGCAGAGTTTGTGTGGACGGTTTATCACTGAATGACCTGCAATTGATTTGTGCTTGACTTGTGAGGACTCTACTTCAATCTGCAATATTCTAGTTGAGTTTAAACAAAACCAGATGAAAAAAACAAACACTTTAGAGTATCTTTGATTAACAGAAACTTTATTTTAGAAGTTTTGAGCACTGAACTGAGAAGGCTTGGGGGGGGGGGGGTTGTAAACCTCTTCGAAACTCAGATCAATCAGATCCGCGTGTGTACCTGCAAATTGTCACAGATTAATAGATTAGTCACTGGCACTAAGTCATGATGACCTAACCTACAAAGATCAAAAGATATCCAAGGTACGTGATGCACATCCTCAATCATGTCAATGAATCACCGTGTGCATGTTAAACAAAGGCTCTTCATTGAATGCACCTTCCCACCGCAGCTGATCTCTCTAATAATTGGGTGGAAGGTCACTTGTAGTATTTGATCTTCAAAATCAGCAGTCTACCATAAATAATTGGCCACTGATCGATTACCATCTAACAAGTCCAGTATTCAGAGCTTTGGACCACTGAGAATCTTTTTACCACTCGGGACGCACGATGACAGTGCGCCCTCAGGGGTAGGAATGTAAAACATATTGTACGATTCGTTCGTTCCCCCCCCCCCCCCCCCCCCCCCCCGCCCTGCAAACAGGGCGCTGGTAAGGGCTGATGAGCTTTACGGAATCTTGTGAAGGAAGTACAGATTGACCTTCGCATGCAGCTAGCGCGCGCTACGCACGATGGGCACCGGAAGCTAGTTTAATATAGCTCTATGGTTCTACGTTACAGGTCACGCAAATCTATCCGATGAGAGCTCAAATGACGTCAGCCCTGACCAGCGTCCGGTTTGCAGGGCGGGGGGTACATTACCAGCGAAATTATAAGATTTTAGGCATTGCATGGTGGAGTATCAGTATCGTTTCGGTTTGCGGAAACACCATGTGGTATTAATAACTACTGCAGAGTAGATATTGAGCGAGCAGGGCATCCACTCCAACACAACGCCCAAAGACAACCAATCAGAATCCACCAACACAAGCACTCCCAATCCTAGCACAGCCTACTTAAGGAGCAGCATCTCCAACTCTTCTCAGTCTCCTGACGCTGACTAGAGCAGGCTAGTCGAAACATTGAGACAGAGACAAGTTCTTTTAGAACTAAGCAGGACCGTTCTTATCAGAACTAAAACTACTTACTGAAAGTTCAGAACTAAATCTACTAAGCAGTAGTTATCACCACACGGTGTTACCACACAGAAATGATACCGGTACTAAAACACTATTGTTATTGAAGGACACTTGAACGCCTTATAAATATCCAATTTACCCTAGTCTTGGTCATCCAAGACTGGAGTTGGTTTATTTTCTCCTAATTCGCTGGTCCCTGACAGACAGTGTCAAGCCTCCTCGGTGGTGAAAGGTGCTACCATCGATGAATCAAATCATGTCTTAGTTGGGAACTCTAGCATGAGGTAGTGATAAGGTACATGTAGGTTCCAAATCTCTCTGGTCAAAGTTTCCTAGATTTGATTCATCTTTTTGATAGCGCCCTTTACCACCACAGTGGTTTGAACTGGCTACATTATAGTAAAAACAAATTCCAGTCTTGAACTAAGAATAGTCTTCTGAAGTACAAGTTCGATTGGGTTGGAACTTGGTATGTACATAAAGGTGAAAAAAAAAATAAAATAAAGGTGAAAATTGAAGTGAATTTTAAGTCATGATGATGTCATCACCAGTTGCTTTCCTATTGTGCAAAATCAACTTACAAAAATATGGACGTGAGCTCATTTAGTTGAAAATGACTCAAAAATTAATGTGAACCACACATTTGGCATTCAGATTAAATCACAATTTTAAAACAGTTCTTAGCTCAGACAACTGGTTCGATATATGCACAGCAGTTTCAGTCAAAACACATTTTCACCGTAGTATTGGACAGGACAGCTACTAAACTGGTTAAGACATGCCACAAGAGGGCTCTGTTCACTTTCACCAGCACCACACAGTCAGCTACTCTTGAAACAAGGTTTTTCAATTAATATGCCTGATGAGATGTATCATACAGCAGCACCCTCCTTACATTTCTTTACCGAACTCTTTGTTTAATTTTTATCGCACAAAATGCAGAAGATTAAAGCCAGGCTTTGCTGCCAGACAGTTTTTGCAGCCTTGCAAGAGGTCAAAACTTTTAAAAGGTTAATCCATGGATCCTGAACATTTTCAGTGGAGGAGGGAATATTATATAGGCCTACTTAACATAGAAATGGTTCAAATATGATCAGACATTTTGCTTTTTCCTTGTTTTAGCATAGAAGTTAAGATGCCCAAATGTAACAAGAAATACCAAAACTATTTAGAGACACACACTAGGGAAAAACCATTCAGGCATGGCAGCTCCTAAAGATCATAAACTTCAAAAGAAGGTTAGAATAGAAGACGATGATTTGATATATCATCTAAATGATCTACAGACCTACATTTTCATAACATCACAATAACTTTATCTTTACTGTTCTGTCTGTGTGACGCACTTCATTTTCCTTCACTAATTATCTGTTAAAAGTTTTTGTTAGACAACCTCATCAAGTCACTGTCAATTGGCTCTCCCATAGCATGACTAAAAAACCCTATTTTGCAAAAACATACTAACATAGCACAATTTTAGCAGACTTGCATTATAACACATAGGCTTATCCCATAGGCGAAAAGAAAACCCTTTAAAATAGCACAAATTCCTGAAAATAATTTACTATATATTGCACCATCGAAATCCTACCTACCAAGCACCGCAACAGCACAGCAAGTTCAAGAAGTTCTAAGGCCTAAGAGACGATCTAGCTAGCTAGCTCGGTCCTACTAAAGCGCGTCAACAAGCGTCAACAAGCGTCAACAAGTCTTAGTAATCGTTAAGTGCGCGTCAACAAATTTTGTATAGCCCTTTGAACAATAAAAACAGCTTTATATGGTAGAAAAAGCAATAATGAACATCTTCTGCATATCAATTAAAGTTAAAATTATTTTAAAACTTGGTTTTCTTAACGCGAAATGTACGACGAATTTGTCGATAAAAGTTGGCCGCCATCTTGTTTATGTGTAGCTAGCCGTACTACGCATGCGTGAAGTGTAAAGAGCCATACTACGCATGCGCGAAGTCTACAGCGCCATCCAAACAAGATGGCGGCCTACTTTTATCGACAAATTCTTCGTACATTTCGCGTTAAAAAAACCAAGTTTTAAAATAATTTTAACTTTAATTGATATGCAGAAGATGTTCATTATTGCTTTTTCTACCATATAAAGCTGTTTTTATTGTTCAAAGGCCTATACAAAATTTGTTGACGCGCACTTAACGACTACTAAAACTTGTTGACGCTTGTTGACGCTTGTTGACGCGCTTTAGTAGGACCCAGCTAGCTAGCTACGCGGCCCGAAGTTACAGTCAATGACCGGTGATGTTGAAAGGCGCCCTCCAGTGGTAAACCACGAAGGCGCGCGCTTAGCGTGTCTTGTTTTCGTTTTTTTAAAAGTAAACAAGTAAACAATAATGCTTTGTATAAAAACACAGAAGGAAATTGCGCATTGTTTGCCTTCCTTCCGTATGCGAAAAATGGCGTTTTTCCTTTTTGTTTTGCGTCACCTTTTTGTTTAAAATATATATTAACGAACCCCTTTCTCAATTAACCGTTAAGCAAAACAGAAAACAAATTATAAATCCCATTGCCCTTTACGAAAGAACAATTGGAAAACGAATAACGATTCCCACTTCCCTACTGGACAGCACAATGGAAAACGAGTAACGATTCCCACTTCCATTATCGACAAGAAAACGGATAACGAATAGTGATTCCCACTTCCTAATCGATAAGAAATTGGGAAATGGGATTTCGTGGTGCATGACGGGAAGCGAGGAATCAATTTCGTTTTCAGGGTGTCGAGCAGTACGCTCCCAGAACTATCCTTACCCGTAAGCTCTCGGAGTTGAAAATATAGTAAGCCCTGGGGAAGAGGTCTGGAAGGCGTACTTTTCCCTTCGCCGTTGAGGGGGTACTTTTGCATCACCGTTAAAATTCATCGGAATAGCCGGAACACGTGTGCATAGCACGGCACGGTCGCCAGGGCGCGAGTGTTGGTGGTAGCGGCCTCTAAGGGTCTAGTTTATCAGTTTTGCAAATGACGGGCAGAGAGCAGTGGCGTCACCAGACTTTTCAGTCTGGGGGGGCACAGGGGGGGCACCAGCATTTGATGGGGGGGGGGGGGGGGGGGGCACTTAGGTGGATACGGATCGCCGTCCTGGGGGAGGGGTCTAAGGGGAGGGGGTATCCCCTCCCCTTTGGAAAATTTTCGCATACGGAGGATGGGCTAGATGCAAAATGGTGCCACATTTGATGCTAAATTCGATCTGAAGATATCTCCAGAAATTGCTATTTTTGAGGTAATGATTTTAACAACGCGCAGAATTTTGCAGAGGATAGGGGGGCACCAGCATTTGATGGGGGGGGGGGGGCACTCGGGGGGGCACTAGGTTTTCCAGGGGGGGCACGTGCCCCCCCCCCCCCCCCCTGGCCCCCCCTTGGCGACGCCACTGGCAGAGAGCGGTCGATTTTGGATATTAAAATACGTTGCTTGGAATTTTTTTATCAATTTTGAAGTGAACCGACGATAGCTCGTGGATACCCGTGCCATTCATTTTGCTGTAGTGCACCACTGTTTAAACCCAGCAGGCTATAGGCTAGGCAGGCCAATTATGAATTAGGTAGGTAGGCTGCGCAACAATTGTGGACTCCGTTGTGTACACGCAATGGAGTCCAGAGTATGAATCTCTCCTGCCATAGCGAAAAAAAAGTTACATATTCCTTGTGTCCAGAATTGTGCATGCGCTGGGTTTAGAAAAGACAAATATGTCCGCGGTCTGCGTGTTTACCAAAAGTAAACTGCAAATCTTTAGACATTTAAAAATGACTACATATTGTTGATGTTCCCTAACGTGGCGCGGCCCCTAACGTGGCGCACTTTGATTTTTCGCCTGTAACGCCTAGCTAGAGCAAAAGTTTTAACTGAAATTTCACAGAAAGTGAAATTTCATCAAGTTCTTGACACTCCCGTTCATAAATCGCGAGTGAATCTGCCCGTTACAAAGTTAGAAGAAAAATGAATTTTGGCGTGATTTTCCGATTTTATTTTGAAGTGCAAAGTGAACCCTTTTAAAGTGCCCCGACATGCCCGAAAAATAAGAAAAACAATTTCTGACAAACTTCTGGTTGAGTATTTAAGTAGAAATAATAATGGTTTATCAGAATCTATCAACTTTACAGGAATTCTAAAAAGTCAATTTGGAATTTTCCGAGATTTATTCAAGTGCGCCACGTTGGGGAACACTCCGCCAATTTGTGCCCAATTTCCGGACGCCACTGTTTCTGAATTTCAGATTAAATTTCATGAAACCGAAATTGTTCTCAGAGGTTAAATAGCAAGCATTAATAAGGCCGAAGTACCAGTAATTCACTGCATGAATTTGAGGTTTGTCACCAAAGAGGTTTGGCAACACTACACGAGGAAAGTCGGGTAAACGTCGAAGTGCGCCACGTTAGGGAACACCACCATTATATGGACCGTTCACTTTTTAGTAGAGTTGAGTTCAAGTTCCGTTTATGCGTGGCAATGGCATCATAATGATGACACTGTTAACAAGTAAACTCCTGTTGTCAGTTGTTTTAGCTGTTGCAAAATACAAATCATAGTGCAAAAAGACCTATATCATACATTTCGATTGATTAGGTTACATTAGTGTGATCAAATAAATGTATTTTCATGCTAAAACATATCAGCTGTCAATGTCATAACCAAAGATCCTGATCTTTGGTCATAACGTTAAACGGTAAACATAACTTCGACTTTGAAACATCAATTAATACATTGAAGAGGGGTGTCCCGTTAATATGCTTCCGGGGTGGGGTGACAAAAAGAAAAGTCAATTGCGCAGACTTTAAAAAAAAAAATCTTAAGACATCAAGGTCTCTTCTATAATTATAGAATAAAAATCAGTTCAATTTAGTTGTCTCTATAAAACGTTAATATTATGGGGTTCCCTTTTGTAAAAAGATATACATGTATTTTCGTATTGTGACTTTCTATGCTCGCAGTCTCAAGAGTTCGAATATTGGCAGATTTTTACAGTTTCCGATTTGTAAATTTGATGATGACAATTTCAACCTTGAATGTATTATTCCAAAAAAGCAAAATGTCAACTTAAAGGTGTCACTGATTTATAAAAACAAAAATGCAGGTTCGTCATAGGCCCAAAGTTGAATTTCACTGCTTGATCAATTCAAAGGCCAGCGTCGTCCCTCTGAATTAAGAAAAGGGAAAGGAACCCTTAAAAATAATGGATCAATCCGAGGTCCAGTCACTGGACACACAAAGCGCGCCACCAGTGCGGCATTTGATAACAATGGAAAAATACCGGGTTCCACGTGCATCATTCACTACTTTATACACACATCGTCGTACTCGTATTCGTAGATCGTACGTGCAAGATATTGGCGCGGGATCTTAGTAGTATCGGAACCAACGTACTTGGTCTTCCGCCTCAAAAGGGTCATTTTGCTTCAGGGAACCAGAATATTGGAGAGTGATTTAAGTGGTGAGTATGAGAAGGGTTTGTTGTAGACGATGAGCAGTCTATCTTTCTCAGATCGTCTGTCGAATGGAAAGAAATCGACTTTGGAAATGCCGGGAATTCTTGACTTGAGTCGACATCGTCATTGACTTTTGTGCATGATAGTACATGTACGTAGTACTAGTGTAGGCCTAGGCCATGACATAGTTTGTACACAAAGTGTACGTCTATGTATATGTAGGTCAAAGTTTAAACTGAGTAAAGGTGTACTGCCGCAGTAGGGCCTACTGCTGTACAAACACAAATAGACAAGTTTAATCTCGAGAATGTTGACCTGCTACCTCGTTTGTTTTGAACATGTATGTTTGCCCTAGTGTCGTGACATAACACTTCGAAATTTTTTTCCGTCGCCCACCCACGACCACATTATAAATGATTAGGCCTGGACGAGTAGCCTAGTCAAATTTTTCTTGTCGAATACTTGCAAAGAATTTACCAACGAGTAGTTGAGTACTTGCGAGCAGTCACTTGAATTCCCATAATTTCATAAAAGCAGAAATATGACATACAGGGGTAGGCCTATACCTTACGTAACGTTAGTATTATGGGAAGTAACTACAATTTACAAATTACAATACAAGCTTCCAAGTCACACAACATTCTTCAGCACTGAGCTTGGCCCCACTATTTTGGCCTCGGTATTGCTGCGCTGCACCTCTGGCATGTCTGGCCACAAGCCAGGTTCTCCAAACTACTGAGGAGATTTTCATCTTTTTGGAGGCCATATGCACACGCTGTCTGTTGAAAATTTTTATTGCAAAGACGCCTAATCAATTCGGGGGAAAGAAGCTGAGACATCATAAAATATAACTGCATTGCTGAGGCCACACTAGTGGGGCTGCACTGAGCTATCCTTACTGTGCGACGTTTTGAGTCGTTTACAAAATTATGAATGGAATCATTGGAGAAAGGTGTTTTGAGGGATAGATTTCCAATTCCTCTTGCCGGTTTTGGATGATTTTAGAGGATTGAGGATGAATGGCAATTGGCAAAGATGTATTGCTTGTTTTTGTGGAGGATGCATTACATCAAGCCAGTAGGCATCCTGCATTGGTTATGTTCAGCCATGCATAAATCAGCCCCGTGTTTTTCTCGTATTTCATCCGCGCTGCTTCTTAACGCCATTCGCACTGCCTCAAAACCGTAGCAGTTATTGGCAGAGGATTTTTGGAGGATTGAGGCAGTGGTCACCCTCCACAGACTAAATTCAAGAAAAAATGGATGATTTTGGAGGATTGAGGCTGAATCCATTTTTCTCTAAGTGGCAATTCGAGGATTTTGCAGGATTGGGGTTGTATCCTAGCCAGAGTCTAGGGGGTTAAATTATTCATGTAGCAGTCACAATCATTTTGTTGGATTTATTCACAGCAGGGGGCCTGGCCATAGAAACTTTTTTTATGGCTGCAAATTTGTGCAAAATAAAACTTATCACGATCTTTGTCTGCCTTATATGATCTTGGATGTGGAACACTAGTCCAGTGGTGGTTCAGTGCTTTCTGTAAATGAACTACACTGAATGAACTAGACAGTGGCCACGGTCTAGTGATTATCTGCCTGGTGAATGTCTTACCTTAGGTTTCCATGTATTAGTGTAACAATAAACAAGATTTGTTTTGACTCACTGGTCCGTTGCCTAGCTTCAATCTTGAAAGACCATTGTCAATTCCATGTTGGGGGGGGGGGGGTGTTCTCAGCACTTACAATGTATGGATTACAATATGATTAAAATTCAGGACAAACCTGTTTTTTTTTAGACAAATGAGACTGTTTGAGATTTTTGGATATTCTCACATTTTATGATGTCCTCTACATGATTACCAAACTTTGAGATACAAAATTGCAGCGTTCGTTAATTACGCTAATATGTACGACACCCTCAGTTTTTCGTTTTAGTGAAGTGATGAATCTCTCTTTGTCACTTGATTTTACACGTGTGCTATACATGTGTTTCTGTAGTCTCTTAAACTGATGAAGTGACAAATCTGCATTATCAAATAAACATACATTTCACATACGCATGCATGCTGTGTAGTGTGTATTTTATATACCGGTAAATGTACATTCTGTGTGATGAAGACCATGAAGTACAATTTTCATTTTGAGGAATATCTTTAGTAATTAATGTCTCCTAGTTAATATGATTTTATGAAAACAGAGAAATTTGTTTGCTGTTGTGTTAAACTAGTTTAATACCGGTATATATTGGAGGAGAAATGTATTACGAAAATGCAACCTGCAAAATTGACCAACTTCAAATGCGGTTTTCTCAAAACTCGGTTTTGAGAAAACCGTGTGCAGATTCATCACTTACTCAAAATTTGTCAAAATGGTGACAATGTACAAATTGCAGAGTTGTCAAAAATTTGGTGTTGAATTTTACATATGTATGTTTAAGTGCTCTGTGTGAAAGTGTCCTGGGTTTTTTGTTGTACAATGCAGGTCAAGGCTTTCCATCTGATATTTCAAAAAGCATTGTCCTTTGAAGTGGAATGAAAGGTAATTCCATTGAACAATGCCACAGTTGTATCCTGCTGCGTTCGTTCGGTGACCACAGATTTGGGATTAAACATACCCTAATGTTTTAAGCCACATTTGGAGAAAAAAAATTGAAAGTGAGGCTTGGAATGCATAATAGTCTGGCACCATCCCGTTCAACAGATTACATTTTATAAAACACATTCAGGGAACAAGATCAATAATGGCTTCTGCGGTCTTTGCAAGTCGCCAACTTCTGAGGGTTAAGCTTGCGTGAACTAAAACCTTTTGTTAGTTTTGCTGGCGTAACAAAAATATTTGTTTAAGAAATAGTTTGTTTGGTAACTGCGACCCTTATATCTTTTGTCCTGATTTTTGAGGGGTGAGAAAAGAGAATCAATTTTGGCAAAACCGTTCCATTCACTTTATTTATCAATGCTTCCTTTCTATCGTGTTTGAGCTGTCAAGTAGCGTTAATGGGGATGTCACAGGAGAAGACTGATTATAGGATTCTGGTATCGATACTGGCTTGGTGTTAATCCCTTCTTTTGTGTTTCTCAGAGTTTTGTGGATCCCCCACTTTGTATGTCGTGAAAAGTCTTGTCTCTTTCTTTGGTCACGTTGAATTGAATTATTGATGAAGGCTTAAGGCTTGCGAGATAGGATAGGATGGGAAAGAAATCATTCCAAGAGTCATCGTGGACTTTTCGAGTTGACACCCTTGGATGTTTTTCCCAGAAAAAATTAATCGATAAAGTCACAATTGAAGTCTTTTTGATACACTGTATCTCTCCAAAAGCTTGATTGACAATCACATTCAAACTTTATTTTTCTCTTTGGACATGTTTGTTATTACAAAATTTCGTTAGGGATGTACATGTAGTTTCATATGTAAAACAAGTTAAATATTTAACCAACTAGTACATGTACGCCTCCCAAGTTTCAAATTTTTTTTAAAATCCAAGTAAGGTATATACTATACATTATGAGTCTATGTTTTCATTTACGTTCAAGTGTGGGTTTGTATAATGTATTCTTTCTCAAATGTATTTTGCACTTCTAACATCTGCTCAAAATCCTTTAAATCCAACAGATCAAGTCAGTGGATTTGCAGTTAGTCTCATCAAAGGATAGTGTTCTCCTGTGACTCTAAACTGCCTGATTAGAGGGACATTTGTCAGATTTTGTGTTGGCAAGCCAAATTGCAGACCAATTCCTTTGGGATATGAGCTTGGGGTTGAAGATTGAAAGCCAGGAAGATGCAGCAGAGTAACGAAGAGCGTCTGAACATGCTGGAAGACAAAAATGAGACCATTGAAGAACGGCGAGGCAGCAACATCAGCGACTCGTCGGAGAGCGCCTACAGCAGCAACGGCATCGCTCCAAACCTACCCAACCACCATGAGCGGAAGGAGTCGGTGCGGTCCTACCGGCTGCGTCGCAAGCTGCGACGACGCAAGCAGATGCAGCGCTTGGTTAGCAAGGACGGCGTCTGCAATGTCGAACACACCCACGTAAAGAACTTGGGCGCGCGCTTGTTCGCCGACATGTTCACCACCTTGATTGACCTGCGGTGGCGCTACAACCTGAGCGTCTTCACATTGGCGTACGTGCTCAGTTGGTTCCTCTTTGGCATCGTGTGGGTAATAATCGCTGCAGCCCACGGGGATCTTTACTATCAGAGTCATAACGTCACAGACCCAGAATGGCAACCCTGCGTAGAAAACGTTGATTCCTTCACAGCCTCCTTTCTGTTTTCAGTGGAAACGCAAACGACTATTGGTTATGGTGGCAGGAGTGTGACTGAAGCCTGCCCTCACGCAATACTCGTCGTCGTCATTCAGTCCGTCGTAAGTTGTTTGATAGACGCTGTGATGATCGGCTGCATATTTGCGAAGATCGCTCGCCCGAAGAAGCGGGCTGCCACGCTCAAATTCAGTAAAAACGCCGTGATTGCTCAGCGCGATGGACGATTCTGCTTTATGTTTCGCGTGGGCGACATTCGCAACTCCCACCTCTTTGAAGCCCACTTACGGGCATACCTCATCAAACCGCGGGTCACTGCTGAAGGGGAAATCATTCCACTGCACAGTTTCAACATGGATTTAGAGTTCGACACAGGAGAGGACAGGATATTTCTAGTATGGCCCCTTATAATATGCCACGAAATCAACCAAGACAGTCCATTGTACGAATACACTGCGAAGGGGCTGGACAACGCAGACTTCGAGATTGTCGTCATCTTAGAAGGCATCGTCGAGCAGACAGGTCTAACCACGCAGGCCCGGACCTCCTACCTCCCCTCGGAGATAATGTGGGGCCACCGCTTCGCCAGCTCTGTGGTCTTTCTGAAGAGCGAGAACGACAAACAGTACGACATTAACTACTCCAAGTTTGACCAGATCTACCCGGTGCCTGAGACGCCGCGCTTCAGCGCAAAAGACAACGACGCGATGGAGAGACGAGCAGCCTCCCTCTCGGAACCTGCTAGTGACCCGCTAGAGTCCCTCCGGGACTACATACTGAAAGTCATGCGAGAAGCGCGAATTGATGAGGTGGAGAAAGAACAGGATGCGGACATCCGAAACCGGATATACAACAAGAGAGTGGAGGCCCTGACGTCGCGGGACAAGACGCGATTTAAGAGTCGCAGCAGCGAACACCTGTCGGTCAACCGGGCCAAGAACGCTTTTCCTCTTGTAACGGCCAAGAGCGAGTCCATTGATAGGATGGTGCTCAACCCCGATGACACTTCTTACCATCGGAGCACCGGCCGGAATTCCAGCGACGGAAACGTCAGTCCGATCTCCAGAGAGTCTCATGTATGACACACAAGGTGAGTCAGAGATTGATACAATCCCGGTATTTGTTAAATAAATTACGAATGTCATAAAAAATGAATTCTCTTCTTGTTTATAAATGAACTCTTACAATGTAGGTTTTTCATTGACAAATTGTACAGGAACATTTAAAACCTTTAAAATGTACAGGAACATTTAAAATCTTTTTTAAAAATTGACTGTAAAAAAATCATTGAAATGCGTAGTATTCAAATATCAATGATTGTCTGAATCAAGATTTTCAAGAGCCTAAATAGAAGGAACAGGTATTCAGTAAGCATTGTTGGGGGGGGGGGGGGGATTTTATTAACCCTCCTATGCAAACATATATTCTGAGCAAAGTTGTCCTTTCAGTCAAAATCAATCAAGTGACTGTTTTCAACATGAAGCAAGATTGACTGGCTGTGACTTTTTATGTAACTTGATACAGCTTTGCTTTGACCGTAGGTGATTGATAAGCCAGTTGTGCCTACTGACTGAATTTGACTAGTCATAGTGCTTGCTTGAAATTTGATCTGAATGTTGGTGACTGGCCTATGTAAAAGGCATGGCAGGGGAAGAAGATTGATTTGTTTTGACTTCTTGTGACTGTTCAGACAGCCGGAGGGTTAATTTGTATTCAAACTGGAATTTTTTATGCGTTAACCAGTTTTCTGCTTTATTTGCTTAAGATCAGTAATATAAGTGCAAATGTATTGGTTTTCCCGTTTTGCCAGGAGGCACAATTAGCATGCACGTCCTTAGTTAACAAATTATTCACAAAATGTGAAGTAACGCATACGTACATGTACATGAACGTGTACATATGCTCAGGCCTCTGGCAAAATATCTTAGTAATGTTTAAATGTTCTTCAGTGTAATTTCACTTTCAGATGTAATAAAACCATCCTTTTTTCAAGACGTCTTGAAACCATAAATATTTTTCTTATACTTGTCATCTTGTTTTACGCACTGACGTTATTTCCTGTTCATTGCGAGGTTTTCACTTTCATTAAAAAAAAAATCATAATTATATAATTCATGCTGAATGTTAGAAGTCCAAAAACTGCATTTTAAATGACAGCAATTTGCAGTAAATTAAGCCCCCCAAAAGTGCAACTTTTTGACAAATAGTAACGTGCGTTCGATTAGCTCACCGGGGGCGACATGGGGTAGCCCCGTGTATTTTAATAGCTCTGATGTCATTTTCGGGGCTCACACGGTTCAGCCAACACAGACCGGACCCTGCTCGAGGAGCAGAGTCAGTGGTGGAAATTATGCGTCACATGAACACATTGTTCATTCAAAGAAATGGACAGATAATGCGGCCGGACAGCGGGAAAGATAATAAAAAATATTTGAAGTCTAAACATACATTGTAGATATTGATGTCATTGTAACTTTAGAGACTATACTTCCAGCCTGTTGTTGTAACTTTCTACGTTTGACAGAACAGCAGCGTTTTGTAAATGGCTACTGCCACAGCTACGAACGTCACATGAGGATCATGATGGCCTGCGTTTGAGCGTTTGATTAGCAGGGCTGTCATGGCTAACCTGTCTGCATTTACCCGAGTCGACCGGGTTGAGCTAATCAAACGCGCCCTTTGATTCTGACATACAAGAACTTGTATGATAAGGAAGTTCTCCTGGATAAGGAAATGACCGTGATAAACAAGTTACATTAAATCGGTCCCAGTCCTAACATCCGTCATATATTTTTGCAGTACACTGGCACGTACCCATGTATGTATTCAAGACTGGATAAAGCCCAGCCAGTATTGATCTACTAAGTGTTTCCATTCTGGCTAATTTTGACATGCCATCGTGTTAATTGCAATGTGCCATTGATTAATTGCTCAGGAAGTGTTTTAGTCAAAGTGCTTTGGCGTTGCACGCTGTACATTGTAGTTAAAAATTCCAATAAATGCACAGCACCGTACATGAATCAATCCTTAGTGTACAAGTACGTAAACATGCCTGTCATGCAGAATTTTAATCTGTCTAAATTACAAAATGTATGTATGCATATTGTCCAATTTTCCTCAGTGCAGTAAAAAATAATACGAATAAGAAAACATTTACATGTAGAAAGGTCTAAAATATAGAGAAACCACTCATTTCGGAGGTGATGAATTGAAAATAAATGGCCAAAACAAATGTACCTCCTTTTTATAGCTCCATGCTCAGACTGAAAAGCCAGTATTTACGATCAATCCTTTTCTGACAATTTATTTACCATTACTGTTAACAGTGATTGATAATTACTCTAAATAACCTGGCTCATCCCATTATTGAGATTGACGGAAACCATTAGCTTTTAAATAAAAAATAAACACCCGTTCTGCTTATGTTCTACTAGATTTTAATTGATTTCCTGTTTAGTGCCTGCATGGGTGCTTTAGCCTTTAGGCACCCTATTTTACGCCCACTCCCCTTAAAGGGGCACTAGGTCCTGAAATCCCTGAAAATTTTATGTTTTGGATTGTTTACTTAGCCTATTTCAAACATCTGGTTGAAAGGAAACCAACCTAATGTCTTACTGTTCCTGAGAAAAGACGAAAAAAACCTGCTTGTTTACATCGGACATGACGGAGTACGAATACGTTTTCGTGTCGTTCTCAGTGTACGATATACACGTTGTGTATCTCAGGAACAGCGGTGACCAATCACCAATGCATAAAAAAAATAGTTTCTTCAACGTCCGCAAAAGACGAACACTTTGCGAATGAAATCACAACTAGCAGCCAAACAGCTCGAATTTATGGGGTCGCAAAAGTGGATCCCGAAATTCGTTCTCGCACGTTTAATACAGGAATAACACAAAAACGCCCAGTTTTGAAAGGATAGTTGTGTGGATGTTTATATCCTACTTTAAATGTTATTTCCGATTAACATCATCTCGTTCAAAGCGCGTTTTGTAGCCCAATTGGGCTGTTCCAGGACCTAGTGTTCCTTTAAAACCAAAAGAAGTGACCAACATATGGGGGCACATTTGTTCACTGTGTATTTACAGCTTCTCTGGTTTTATGTTCTTATTGGAATCCTGTCAGTATTCCTTGAATTGTTTATAAGTTAGGCTTGTTTTGCAAAAGCCAATTTGTTTTCCCCTGTCCATTTGTGAGCGTCACTTCATCCATCTTTCTGTTTAATCCACCCACACTGTTCAGTGTTGAAGGTTAAGTGTTCAGTGTTAAATGTTTACGGCTAGTTCTGCACCAAAAGTCGCCAGGATTTTGGATAACTTTGCTGGCATACCGGTAGATTTTCTTTTCTTTAATAAGTTGTTGTTGTGACAGGGCAGTAAGCTAGTGGGCAAATTTTCTCACACAAATGCTTTTAATGAGCAAATTTTTCGCACACAAATGCTTTTAATGAGCAAATTCTTGGGTTCACAATTTAATGGAAAAACCTTAAACTGAACTTTGTCTTGAAATGACATCACAGCAACAGTGCCCTCATGTCTGGAAAAACATGGAAAACTTTAAATGTCTAAAGAAGTGCACTTTTCAATCAAATTAACCAAAAAGGGATGTCAACTAGCTTTCATACATTTAATAGGAGTAGAAAGTTGCACACAATAAAATTCCAAAGAAAAATTCATTGCTTGGTCCCTTAAAGGTTGCAAGGTGTACTATGTAGAGTCAGCATCTGAAATTGAACATGGTCTCATTTTAGGGCATGAACTTGCTACATTATGGATGAGCAATACGTCTTGACTCATTTTAGCTTGTCAACTCCACAGGTTGCAGATTGTGCTGTTGCCTCACCGGTTTTTCAGTTTAATAAAAAAAGTGCACAATGACTCAGTGATATAGTTTCACGCATTATGTACACATCCACTCTGTGTTGATTCTATTTTATTGTTGAAAAATCTTTGAGACCAAAAGTGACTCACATGGGATTTTGCAGTTTCAGGGAAATTGAAATTCCTATTAAATTAAACAAAAACCAAATAAAACCAATATTATAAAATAAAAAAAGTCATTCAAAGAAAACAATTTATCGCGTCAGTGCAACAAGGTCGTAACTCGATTCTGCAACAAAGTCGAATCTGGTGCCAATACACTCCGTGCAACAAGGGCATATCACTACGTCCATTGACTTTGTGTGTACATATGTTGTGCATTCAGGTTATTTTAAGCGAGATACAACCTTTTGACATTGAAATCTTCTGTTTTCACCCGCCATTTTAGGAGATACGACCTTGTTGCATGGACTCAACTTGTTTTGCCCAAAACCACATGAAAAGGTGAACCAGGTACATGTACCGGTATACTGTCTTTTGAGCAAATAATAAAAATATGACAATATCACAAAAAACTTTTTGAAAACAGGTGATACTTGGTGAAAAGTAAAACTGATATTAAGAATGTTTAATTGGGCTGTTAATCAAAGCGAGATATCAAACATATTTCAGATGACACTTAAATCCTCTCTGGCTAGGTCTAATTCAACACACCTACATGTAGTATCCCAGCGCCAGCAGTCAATATCAATCAAGTGACTGTTTTTAACAGTTAAGAGCTCTCTAGTCCTAGCCTACATGAATTAAAGCAGGAGTGACTGGTTATGTAACTTGATACAGCTTTGCCTTGACAGAAGGTGATTGATAAGCCAGCTAGTTACTTTCTTAAATTGTCTGTTGATGGAATTTGACTTGTCACAGTGCTTGCTGGAATATGATCTGACTGATGGTGAATAGCCTGTGCAAAAAGGCATGGCAGAGGAAGCAGATTGATTTTTTGACTGTCTGTGACTGTTCGGACAGCAGGAGGGTTCACTTTGATTTGGTAATTTGAAAAGTACAATGCACCCTGGCACAGCCTAGGAAGAGTACATTTTTGGGTCAAATTTTGGGTTCATGCAATATTTATACATTTAAAATTTAAATATGAGATCGATTTGTAATTAAAATGCATACAACATGTATGTGCACTACATGTAGTTTAATTGATTTAAACGTGTTCTGATTTAATTAGAATACATTTACCAGATGAGCACAATTTATGTGAGGG